CACCCACTGTTCCTAACTGCTTGTCAACAATGGGCCAGAACTGTGGCTCTGGCCTAAACAATGACAGTCCCGAGGCCCTCGAGGTCCCCTCTTTGCAGGACTTTAACGTTTTTTCCACAGATTCCTGCCTGCAGCTTTCAGATGCAGTCTCGCCCAGTTTGCCAGGTTCCCTCGACAGTCCTGTAGATATTTCAGCTGACAGCTTTGACTTTTTTACAGACACACTCACCACAATCGACTTGCAGCATCTGAATTACTAAAAACATTAAAGCAAAACAAAGCATCACAAAACAAAAACCCCTTTGACCAGGTGGTTTGGCCTTCTTTTATTCTGAGAGTTGATTTTTATTTTATTTTTTTCTCGACCTACCCTCTCCCTTCTCTCCATGTTGAAGATTTTCTGTTTAGCGATTCCCCTGACCCACTTTCAGAGGCGTCTTTTACAGATTATTTTGGAGTTTTAGTTGTTTTAAATCTAACCCAGCCACCCTTTATGTGATTGACTGAAAGCAATATATGAGGCCTGCAAGAAAGTGATCATATAATTGTATCTTCACTTTCTTTTTATTTTTGTATTACATTAGGATGCATTGTCATGCGTATTTTTGGTAGAATAAATTCTCCTTTGCTATAAGTAGCTTTCTTATTTTTTCTCCCCCCCTTTCTTAAAGCTCCTAACGGTTTCTTTTTCTTCTTTTAGTCTAACTTGGTAAATAAAATTCTGGTCACAATTCATCTTCTTTTTCAATTTTAATATATTTATTAAGGGGGTATGATCAAAATCTTCAATAGACAGCGACAAAAAAGAAAGCCAGAAAAAGGTTAGGGCATCTGATAAGTGATTTTTTTTTTAAGGGAATGAATTTGGTTTTTCAGTGTAGAGGTTCAAGCTACAGGTTTAAATTGATAAGAGAAACAGGATTAGGAAGCCTCAGAGTTGGGCCAAGCCCAGCCTTTTGAAAGTGGAGAAATAAAGTGCCTACCGAAACCCCCAACTCCAGGAACATGGAGTTACTTTAATAAACTACCAATCTCCAGCTCAATAACTAAGTTATCAACAATTCATTTATTTATACACATTTGTTTCAAACATCTACATTCCAACTCCTCCCCCACAAATCCCGAATATTTCCAGTGTTGTTGATTAGTCTCCCAGCTGCTGATGGGTCCAGGCAAACAAACCTAAAAGACAGAGAAAAATAAAAATAAAACAAAACGATGGTCACTCGCTGGAAAATACACTTCAGAAAGGGTTCTTTCCATGCTCTGGTTCAGTCAGTCTTTTTTTTTTTTTTTTTTCCCAGGGCCAGAAAAATCAATATTTCATTCTGAAATCTGTTTACATGGCAAATAATGGAGCATTAAAGCTTTGAAGTCAGGTTAGCAAGTTGAGATTTAAAATGAAGTGTTTCTGCCCCCTCAGTTATAAATTAACCAGTTTCTAGAAAGAGAAAGAGACAAAGCACTTTAAATGAAGTATCAATAAAATGTGATCTAGGGTGTGTTACTGGGTTGTTCTGGTTTTTGCCCCTTTCTTATGTCTCCCCACGCTTATTTTTCCCTTCCTGAGCTCTGTTCTGATGGCTACTTACCGTGAGAAAACGCAGCGTGTAAGCAACATGTGTTGGGGGCGGGTTGATTTAAGAACCCTGCTCTTAATAGCACAGGCTTGGAAGTTATAATGAAACCGGGATTTTTCTCTAAGGTTTTGCTCTCTACCTTCCCCCACACCTTTGCCCCCTAAATCCCGGTAGCGGCGGAGGCGCGTGAGGACCCCGGCTGGTCTCTTGCCCCCGGCTCGGCACGGAACAGGGCGGCCGGGCAACGGCCAGGGCTGAGCCGCTGCTGTTTGCGATTCGTCCTACGCTCATAAATCAAACGCTTTCTATGAATGAGAATGTCATCAAAGAGATCAATTGCAGGAACACATGCACAAATAAAAATCCTCTTACGTATTTGCCGGGGATCCCCGTCCGAAAGCATTAAGTTAGAAGGCGTTTAGTCATAATTCATTTTTATTGCTCTTTTAAAACAACAGCTTGGCTGAGCCGCAGATGCCATGAACAGCTCGCGGCCTCGGCGGCGTTTTGTCTGCTCCTCGCTCCTTCCCTTTCTAGTAGAAGAGCCTCTGCAAGAGGCGCTTGGAGCCCTTGCAAGCCGCTTGCAGGCGATCATTTAAATAGTGACCAAACTCCCCTTGTACACACTCTCCCCGGGCTTTCAAGGTACTTTAGCTCCAGTCTCGGGGTGCTGGCCTACTTGCCGGGAGGATGGAGGATCTCCTACAAGGTGGAAGGAGCCCCAGGATTTCGTGGGGGTGGGGAAGGATCCGAGCTACGGAAGCCTGCGGGCTCGAGGCCAGGGAGGCTGTCTTTGTGAGCGGCACTGGGAGATCAGCGCTCAGGGCGGCCAGCTGGGGCGGAGCCCGCGCGGCTGCCAGAACCCGGCCTGCGTGCAGCAGGGCGCGGAGGCAGGGTGGGTCGCCGGGCCCGGGTGCCTGCCTGTGTGCCAGCCAGTGCAAGCCTGACCCCAAGAAGTGCACCCACCCCTACTAGCGCTGAAAAGAGCCGCATGGGGAGGAAGAGCGGCGAGAGGAGCGCAGAGGTTGAGAAGTAGCAGGAGAGCGGTTTTGGCCAGGGGTGGCTTTGTGGAGAAAACCCTGTGGCCGAGGGGGTCAAGTAAATCGGCGCCTCGGAGGGCAAGAAAGGGGCAGGAATGAGGCCAAGGGGGAGAACGTGCTTTGGCTCGGAGAGCAGATCGCCCGCAATGCCAGCACAGGTTCCCGTCTCCTCCCCCACAGGAACCCAGTCTCTCCCCAGCGCTGGAGGCCTTGGCGCTCCCAAGGAAGCCACCTCCAGGAGGGCCACCCTGCCTGTTCCCTTCTCCAGGCCGAAGTTCCCCAGGTGCTGAAAATGGGAGCAAGAGTGATTTTTCCTTTCTGTGTTCCCTCTTAATAGGGATTGGGGATGGGTCAAAGGTCATGTAAAAATACTTTTTCAAATAGAAATGTTTAGGGAAAACGTCTCTTTGCTACTGAAGGGAGTTCATAGTCCAATCTCTGCATGTTTTCCCTTCTGTGGAGACAGGTTTTGGAGGAACTTCTATATGTGAAGAACAGAAGGCAGGAACCTGAAAGGTTCACTAACACCTTTGAAATGTGCTTGTTTGCTTGCCTGAAGCAAAACTTCCTTCTTCCAAGTGGGGAGGGAAAACTACAGGAGCGTGGGACCCCCAAATCCACATATTAGATACATTTCATCTGTTGGATTCCGAGGTAGTAAATATGGTCAGTGTAAAATCTATATATACATCATTGGCTGCAAAGCTTCCTGGGTGATCTCTGGCTTTCTTCTACCTAAGAAAGCATCAACTCTCTGCCTTGGCCTCCGTTTGGCCTTTTCTCTTCACTAGCCAAGGGTTGACAAGAAACCTAATAGTAAACGGCAATTAATGGCCCATCAGCATCAGGGTAGTATAAGGGTGACGGAGAACAGGACCCCTGGCCTAGGATGACGCTCAGATTTGAACGGGTCTCTCTAGGGAAAGACTTGAAGGTTCACACAAGGTACTACACAGTCAGTTACAAAGAAGAGGAGGTGTTGTTGGGGAAGAAAATGTTCCCTCCACCTTCAGCCATCTGTCCACCGCCCCTCCCACCTGCCAGCACACCGCCCCCCCCCCCACTTCAGAAATGCAGTAGGATGGGGGCGTGTGTGCATAAAGGAAGCTCTACCAACTCCTGACATTCCTCCCTCAGAAGACCAGAAACGTTGCGGGGTGGGGAGGGTGGGGAGAGGGGAATCTGCGTACTTAGTGGGAGCAGTGGTATCGCCCTTTGAGGTCCCCGCCAGAGCGCGCAGGCTCCTGGGTCTGGCGGAGCCGGCAGATGGCCTGCAGCGCACGGCCCGGCCCCCACGCTGGCCACGTCCGCTAGCGTCATCTCGCTCCCCCGCCTCCTACCCCTCAAAATCCAGCGGCCGAGCAGCTCCGCATCTCGTAAGACTCCCAGAGGAAAGCCGAGTGGGGAGGAGAAAGGGGCGGAGAGCGAGGAGAGAGGGAGGGCAATGAGCCCGGCCAGCCCTGGCCTTTTCCGGCAGGCTCAGCTCCTAGGGCTCAGCCGGCTACCCGGCATCGAATTACAAAAGCTTCTCATTGCCATACTCATAGTCAGTGTGGGGGAAGTGGGGTGGAGGTACGGGGCTTCCGCGACCTCCGTGGAGAAAGAAAGTTTCTTTTCTCATCCACGTCTTCTCCACTCCCACCCGGGTTCCTCTTAGTCAGCCATCTCCGGACTTTATTCTCCATTGGAGCTTGGAGAGCTGGTGGCCCAACCTAGTTCTACGCCACTCGGCTCTGCGCTCCTCATTGCCCCCAGGCACCGCAGCAGGGCCTGTGCAGTGAAAGCTCCCCGGGAGCTTGGGCAGCGACGTCGGCGGGGTTCCTACCCTTCCTGCTCGGCGCGATCCGAGCTCTGGCCCACTGATTCCCCACCCAAAAGAGCGCGGAACCCTCTTCCCTTCTCACCTCTCGTCAGTTCATCTTTCCTGTGCGGTGGGGAAGAGGGCGGAGACGGGGGTGGGGGAGATGCCTCCCAGCCCCCACCTCCCGGAGGGAGGGGGGCGAGCGGAGTCGGCGCGCTCAGAAGGCAGCCCCTGCTCCCCTTCGCCCCAGCGCTCCGAATCTGCCCTTGCAGCCGCCGCAGCTGCTGCCGCCGCCTGGGCTGCCTGGGGGGGCGACTGCGCATCACCTAGACTGAGGAGCGCCTGGGATTTAAATGCCACTGAAACGGTGATCCATCACCGCGGGAGCCAGCAAACTTTCGCAGGAGGCTCCGCCATTGGCTGCCACAGTCACGTGCCTGCCGTAGCGCCCTCCGCCCTCCCGCCCCCCCTCCTGCGCACTGTACATTCATATCATTTTTCTTCTCCGGCCCCATGGAGGAAGTGAGAAAGTTGGCACGGTCACCCAGGGCTTCTCAGGACCCGGTCACTCAGTGACAGATGGACAATGCAAGAATGAGCTCCTTCCTGGAATACCCCATCCTCAGCGGTGGCGACTCGGGGACCTGCTCTGCGCGAGCCTATCCTTCCGACCATGGAATTACAACTTTCCAGTCGTGCGCGGTCAGTGCCAACAGCTGTGGCGGCGACGACCGCTTCCTAGTGGGCAGGGGGGTGCAGATCAGCTCGCCCCACCACCACCACCACCACCACCACCATCACCCCCAGCCGGCCACCTATCAGACTCCAGGGAACCTGGGGGTATCCTACTCCCACTCCAGTTGTGGTCCAAGCTACGGCGCGCAGAACTTCGGCGCGCCTTACAGCCCTTACGCGTTAAATCAGGAAGCAGAAGTAAGTGGTGGGTACCCCTCGTGCGCTCCCGCTGTTTACTCTGGAAATCTCTCATCTCCCATGGTCCAACATCACCACCACCACCAGGGTTATGCCGGGGGCGCGGTGGGATCGCCTCAGTACATTCACCACTCATATGGACAAGAGCACCAGAACCTGGCCCTGGCCACGTATAATAACTCCTTGTCCCCTCTCCACGCCAGCCACCAAGAAGCCTGTCGCTCCCCTGCATCTGAGACGTCTTCTCCAGCGCAGACCTTTGACTGGATGAAAGTCAAAAGAAACCCTCCCAAAACAGGTCAGTCTTGCCATTCCGTGGATGCTCCTTGATGATCCTGGAAGGAGCTGGTATACTTAGGTTGCAAGGAAAATTAGTGTATTTTTTTTTAAAAAAAGTTCTTGCTTCCACCGGTGTTGTGGGGCATTGGGGTATATTGCCCAGGTGTGTTGGGGCAAAGGAGCATCTGGGACGATTGTGTTTCCAAAGGGGCTGAGTTTTAGAGATTCTGGAAGTAGGAAGTGGTCAGGTGTGTTCGTGTGGGGGGAATTCTGGTAACATCTCTAGGCTCCATTAATCACCGGCCTGACCACACTAATTGCTGACTTCTGATGAACACTTTGCACCTCATCACTCACCATCCCCAGCCCCGTGTGCCTTGAGAAATTCTCGCTCTCCTCTTTACCTGAATATTGTTCTGAACCTGTAGAGGATCTCCTATCGACTGTTAAATTTTTACCTTTTTCTCTCACCGCTCCCCACCCTGCCCCAGGAAAAGTTGGAGAGTACGGTTACGTTGGTCAGCCCAATGCGGTGCGCACCAACTTCACCACCAAGCAGCTCACGGAGCTGGAGAAGGAATTCCACTTCAACAAGTATCTGACCCGCGCCCGCAGAGTGGAGATTGCCGCGTCCCTGCAGCTCAATGAGACCCAGGTGAAGATCTGGTTCCAGAACCGTCGAATGAAGCAGAAGAAACGAGAAAAGGAGGGCCTCTTGCCCATCTCTCCCGCCACCCCGCCGGGAAGCGAGGAGAAGGCCGAAGAATCCTCGGAGAAGTCCAGCTCCTCGCCCTGCGTTCCTTCCCCCGGGTCTTCTACCTCAGACACGCTGACTACCTCTCACTGAGGCCGGCTAAGCCCCGGACTTGGCGGCCTAGGCTCCTCCGCAGGCTGGGACTTCTTGCCCAAAGCACATTCTTAGCTTATCTTCCTTTCCATTTCCAGCCTCTGTTTTTCTGATCCTATCTGGAGAGCTTCTGGGCAGCATAATGTCTCTCCAGAGAATTCTGGACTAGATGTTTGGTTGGGGGAGGCGGGCTGCTAACTCCTTAATGCGGATTGGGTACCAGCACCAATTTTCTCATGACCCCTACTCTTAGGAGATTTCCACAGAAGCTACTGTTCCTTTCAGATGTCCTTAGGAAAATAGTCTCCTTCGCCAGCAGAAACATGTCAAAGGGAAGCCTCGCATCTTTTATCTGTCTGTATATTTACAGATCTCCCCTACTTTGCCCTCGAGGTAGGGTGGAGAGAAAGGAAAGAGTTCAGGAGCTCATGAAGAAGAGATGCACTATGAGCGTGTTTACACATTTATTTCACCTTTAATTTAATTCAGTTTCGCGTGTGAGTTTGCTGGTTGTAAATACTTTGTCCTGAGAGATTTATCTTTATACAGATTTTCTAGAAATGTTTAGATGAACTAAAACAGGGTGGGCAAACTCTCAAAGCTGGTCCAATTTTCTATGATTATAGGTTAAAGAATAAAAGCCGTCATTTACACTCAGTTGGATGCCTCGGAGGGTAGCCTCAATTTGTTCATTTAGTGAGTTAGGAAGGCCTGCAGACCACAAGGTTCAGAAACCTTGCTTCCTGTGCTTGTCTCTTCCCTTCCCCACCCCTTTCTTGTTTCTCTGGCCACACTCTATTTCAACTTCGTACTGGATTATTCGGAACCTAAAGGTATCATTCAAACCAGCTTCTTCCTTCCACAGTTATCTTAGCTGGATGTGATGTATTTTCAGCTCAGTTGTTAATGTGATGGATGGCACAATGAATGTATATTTTGTGTGATTCGTGAATAGTCTTTTGCATGTCGCACAATGTTTTGATGTCCCTGAAGTACCACACTGAGTTCTATCAGTTATCCTTTGTGAGCCTATGATACCCCCCATTTCCTGTACAATCATGAACAGCTCTGAGATCCCGGAGTGATGTGATCCAGAGCAGAGTTTACGGGTCTTAAGATGTCTGTAATAAATATATTCAAGTTTCAGATATGCTTAAAGATCCATGTATTTGGCCTGGTGACAGTTTGTTGGTTCCTACAAAGTTGGGTCATTTCATGTGGGGAAAAGAAGGGTAGTGTGCATTTTCAAAGAGGTGGGACTTTTCTTCGGGGGGGGGGAAATGTTTTCCACTATGTAGATGAAGCTTCCCTTATGAGTATAATTGCACCTAACTAATATCTATGATAGGTTGACTTTCTTTAAAATCGCCATAGTTCCCTTATTACAATCAAAGTTCATAAAGGAAAAAAAATGGTGAAGAAATTCATGAAGGAGATCTATTTTTGAAACAAACATGGGTACTTCCTGGGTCAAGTGCTAACCTTTTCACCTCCAACTGAATGTTGACGTATATATAAACAGAACCCCCTTCAAAAGCCGAAACTCTTCAGTCAGTCTTTCCTCACATCAGTGAACCAAGAGCGAAGAGATTCACATTTAAGTAGCTCTCGCATAAAGCTGTTTGAAGACTGGGACCCCACCCTACCTTTCTTTCCTCTTTTCGGATTGTCAGTGTTCCCATATCATCCACCCTTTTTAAGCTGTGTGTGCTCTGTTTTCATTAAACCCTCATATCCCTCCTCCCCTCCTCCCATCAGTAGCTGTCCCTTCCTGCCACCCTCTCCGCACCCCTCTCCTTCTCCAGGTTCCATGTCTCACTTGCGTTAGGTGCAGCTTTGATTTCATAGCCATCATGGCTGCAAGGGGTCTTCAGTTCTTAACTCCACGCCACATAACCCTGGAAAACAGTTCTGATTTTGTTTTCTGGGCTCAACAGGTTTTTCCAGGTGAACTTGTGGAAGCTGCCCTGAAGTCTTTCACTGTGCAAGTTGTTTCTGACCAAGGCATGTGTTTCTGCAACAGAGGAAGCTAGGGGATCAAAGAGTTCCGAGTGGCCCTCCTAGACTGCTTACCATTTTTCCTTGACTTTCACACTTTTAGAGGCTTCAATTTAGCTCCAAGGTTAGAACAGAAATTTTACAGCATCACAAAGAAATACAGACGTATAACTTCCTTCCTCTCCAAAGGATGGGCTGGTGTTCTGTGGGGAGGAAATCCTACAAAAACTTAAAAGTTACAGATCTCCTAGAGCACCTATGAGATTTCCTGTACCTCCTTGTCAAAGGGGAAAGCCTGGACTTTGCAGGCACTGGGGCTGCGGCCATATCAAGGGCACCCGGTGCCCTCCCCGCAGCTCCCCGGCTCTGGGGTTGCTTCTCAAAGACTCAAGTGGATGGGGGAGAACTTCAAAGTGGGCCAACTCTTTCTTTCATTCCCCCCCTTTGCCTTATACAGTATCTTTTGTTTATTAGTGTAAGACCACACAGCAAAACAGATGGCTGGCTTCCAAATACTTTAATGTGTTAAAGCGTCATTTGCATGCCACTGCCGAGATTTCAATATCTAAAAGCAGAGCCCGAGCTGCTGGAATCCCGGAGATTCCAATCTTCAAGGTGTTAGTTTTAATGTAGGAGAGAAAGAAAGGGGGGGGGGGAGTAAGAGAGAGAGAGAGAGAGAGAGAGAGAGAGAATAAATTATGGCTAAACATCCCAAGCCTTCTCTAGGTCATAGAATAAATCAGTTAATAAGCATTGCATTTAGGAAACATTAATATACCTTTCAACAAGAAAAACATTTGTATCTTTGTAGTTGTCCCAATCGATTAAATCAAAGGTGCTTAACACAGACTATTTCAAGGTGTCTCTTTTTCTGTGTTGGCCTCTGAGGAGCGCAGTTAGCACCTTGAAAAATAACAGCAATGGTAACAGAAATGACAAAACAAGAAAAGCAGAAAATGACATTTTATTGTTAGATTTTAAAAGCACAAACGTCTCAATTAGGGACTTGGGATAAACACAATATAAAATTCTATTTTTCAACTAATTTTTCCTCTCTCTGTTCACAATCATTCAAAGTACTCCCAAATTCGGGGAGTTCCCAAACTAGGCTGTGTTGAGATCTTGTTGCCAGCTCTGAAGTCTGCTCTGGGGTCTGCTCTGGGCTTCACCTTTGAAAGTTTACTTTTGGAGGCTATTCAGATGCCCTGGTGTTTTCCTCTGGGGCAATCAGATTCAAACCGATCAATATTTACTCAGTCTGAAAGGGTTGTTGAAAAGGCTGCTAACAACAAACTGCTTAGCTGCTCACCCCTGTTTAATCTCAGGTTCACCGAAAGTTCAAGAAGAGATGAATGCAGTGATGGGTCACTTTAGAATGAGTCCCAGCGGTTTATCTGAGCTCTCTGCTGAAGGCAACAATTATAGTTCCATCCCTCTTTGGAAAAGGGGCAACTTTCCTATTATTCTTTTGCTAAACAGTGTTTACTAGAAAGTTAAAACACTTTCATCTCCCTTCCTGGCTCTTTTTTTGGGGGAGAGGGAGAGGAGCTTCCAGCTGCCCTTCTCCTGCCTCCTCCTTTTAGCTTTCTGCCAATCCACTAGGTTTCATTTGACTTAAAAATAAATTACATTGAATATTTAAAAAACGTTAAATTAGCCTGACAGAAGAGATTCGATTTATTTCTGATGCCATGAGCTATGAAATGAAGCTCTTTGGGCCATTAGAGTTTATCTTCTTTGCGAAAGTACAGGACAAGATTGAATTGAAATCCATTTGCGTTTGAGTAATATCGACAATCAGAGCCCCAATATCCATCTGAGATCGCTGTTTAGAGATGGCTGTTTAGACAGGAATTGGGGGAGGGGTTGAGGAGGGGGAATTGACTTGTGCAGAAGCAAATACTTCAGGTGGAAAGTCAACTTTAAAATTTTACGCTTTCCTAGTGCACAAATTACTGAGGTGAAAAAAGAAGACCCAAGGAAGCCAGTGGGGAACGGTGTAAGAAGATGCTGGACACTGAAGCTAATTGCTACAGCTCTTCAGAGGTCAAAGTTCATGTAATCACTGCATAAATGCATACTAAATAGGGATTTATTAAGCTTTTCTGATGGCTGAGCACGTCTGTGGAAAAAAAAAAAAAACAACGGTCCCTGCTGTTTGTGTTTTTCCTGAAGAATAATCATTCTTGCAGTAGAAACTCTAGGAGTCTGAGTCCTTAATTTACTATTTTGAATGACAGATAAACCTTCTGTTCTAAAATTTTGAAATCAGTGCTTTGATGGCATCTTTGTTTATATTGAATGGGACTATAAAATACACCTCTAACTCCAAGAAATGCTATGGCTTTTTCAATACACACAAGGACACAAGTTAACATGTCCCTATCAGATAAGCTACTCACTAGCTGGCTAAGTTTAGTGACACTGCTGTAGATAAGCATACTTTTTGCCTGAGTTTTCTTCTCCTCTCCCTCTCCCTCTCCTCCTTCTTCTGCCTGAGTTCTGAGAGTACACAGAAGTTCTGCAGTAGGACCATTTGTGTCTAGGTATCCGGAATTGACAGGGACCCACTACCCAACCTCTTATTTTATGAGTCTGAAAGACAAGGCATCCAGAGGGGGATGGATTTGGCTTAGAAATCATAGTGTCAGTACTCTTACTTTCTAAATAAAAATCAGGGTGGCTTAGAACCTGAGGCCAGTACACTTCTTAATTCTAAATTTCTGGTTTGATTTTGCACTTTCTCATTTATTCTATGTGATTTATTTCAGGCTGGATATTGTTTATGTTTTCCCACTTCCGGTTTACCAGCCAAGTGTTCGATTTTGAGGCCATTAGGATTTCTGAATCTCTTTTTTTTAATTTTAAAACTGATTTTAGAGAGAGAAAGGGGGGGGGGGGAGAGAGAGAGAGAGAGAGAAACATCGCTTTGTTGTTTCACTTAGTTATTTATGCATTGGGTGCTTCTTGTATGTGTCCTGATGGGGGATGGAACCGACAAT